TCGTTCGCTCTCACCAATATAGAATATCATTCATCGTATACAATTTGAGACTTTCGAAAGTCCTAATTTGACAGTTGAAAATCTTGATTTTAGCTTTCTGAAAGTCTTAACTTGAGTCTTAACTTTCTTAACTTAAAAAGTCGAAAGAAAGAGAAAAAAATGAAAAATGCAAGGAAGAGTCATTGGCATTAGAGGGGTCAATAAATACAGAATCAACATTCACTTGGCGAAAAAATTCAATTTTGACGAAAGTCGACTTCCCCCCGGGAAAAATCCAAGATCTGACACATTGGCCGCGGGTGAAAAAAAAAAATTTATTTCGACATTTCTGGCGCCTCTGAGGGTTTCATTGGCATTAGAGCGGCCAATAAATACAAAATCAACATTTACTTGGCGAAAATATTCGATTTTGGCGAAAGTCGACTTTCCCCGGGAAAATCGAAGATCTGACACTTTGGCCCCGGGTGAAAAAAAAAAATATTTCGACATTTCTGGCGCCTCTGAGGGTTTCATTGGCATTAGAGGGGTCAATAAATACAGAATCAACATTCACTTGGCGAAAATATTCGATTTTGGCGAAAGTCGACTTTCCCCCGGGAAAAATCCAAGATTTGACACTTTGGCCCCGGGTGAGAACAAAAAATTTATTTCGACATTTCTGGCGCCTCTGAAAGTTTCATTGGCATTAGAGCGCCAATAAATACAGAATCAACATTCACTTGGCGAAAAAATTCGATTTTGACGAAAGTCGACTTTCCCCCGGCAAAAATCCAAGATCCGACCCTTGACCCAGTGAAAATGAAAATTTTTTTTTTCGTCTTTTCAGTCGCCTCCGAGAGTTTCATTGGCATCAGGGAGGTCAATAAATACAGAATCCTTCAGGTCTTGCAGTGAGTAGGCTAGACCCAAGTCTCCACCGTATGGCAAGCGTTTGATTGGCCTGACTTTCTCAATTAATAACTCATTACCAAAATATCAAAGACAAAAACCTCATTCACTAATTTGACGGCAAATTCGATGAAACATTTGAGCGCAACTACATCAAAATTAAATGAAAAGCGATTCGAAAACATTCGTAGTCAGAGCCCCTCTCAACATTCAACAATGTTAACAGTTCACAATTGATGTCGAATCAAGCAATTATCTGTTGTTCAATTATGGGATGTGGTCATCCGTTCCAGCAAAAAATCCCCGGATTGTGGTTTTCCGCGAATGAATTTCATCGGAGGTACGCTAGCTGTCCCACTTGAACATCCTCCAACCAATATTCCCACCAATCCCGCGGACCCGGTAATGCCCACCCGAAACGAACAATCATTACCCACTCTTCAAACAATACAAAACGCGAATAAAAAAACTCGCCCTTACCTTTGACCATGGCGACAATGAAGAAGTCGGTGAATACACTGAGTGTCCATTGAAGAATGCCTCGTATTACGGTTACCTGAGCTACTCGACCCATTTTGAGGAAGAGGTGAGCTCCGATTGTTCGATAGCACACGATGCCCACTCCATGAAACGAGTGTATAAATGCACAGCCATGTGGACTGCGAAATACCAGAATATTCATCATTGCTGAGCCAAACTCTTCGAGTGGGTGCACCTTCTGTGCAACCGAGTCCATTTTCGTGCAAAGTTTTCAGTCACTTCTCCTCGAGAATAATTATATCGAGAGGAATTTAAATGTGAGAGGTATTAGAGTGGAACTACGAGAAGACTTTGGTAACCAAACTTGGAGAAAAATAATTTTTCCTCAGTAAGTTTCACTTGGGTCAATAAACTTTCACGTTCACAATTACTAATTGCGAGATAACGATGCCAAATCCTTTCACGAATTATTTGTTATAAAAAAAAATAATGTGTACATCCAATTATCCCTCTCAAGTACTAAAATGGGCATCCCCTCAAATCGTGATTCGTCAATAGTTTTCATTTAAGGATGTTCGACACCCTTTTAGCCAAAATTGACGTTGTTTTCATTTTTCTGGCAAATTATCGATGGGAGTCACGTGAAAAAATATAACGATTTTGTGGTTTGTCATTCTTTAATGGCTCACGAAGTTGCGTAGTGGTGCGATAATTTTCATGCGTTTCTTCTACAGTTTTGTGATTCTTTTTAAAAGTTTAGAGAAAACGCAGGAAAATGTTCGCACCACCTTAAAATTTCGTCAGTCATTAAATAATGACAAAACGCAAAAACGTTATATTTTTTCACGTCAATTCCATCATAAGTTTGCCAGAAAAATTAAAAAAACGTGAATTTTGGCAGAAAGGGTGTAGAACATCCTTAAGAAAGCACTTGAAATTCTTTAACAGTGTACGAGTTTCTCGACGCAACTAAGACTTACTTGAGGGGAAATGATTTTTCTTGCAGGGTAAATACGCAGGCAGATTGAGGAAGCGAAATCTTTAACTGGGTCAAAGTGATGCCATATGTTTAGTGGAAAAGGAAAGCTCTAGGGATTCAATGATTTCAAAGTTGTAGGAGATCATACATTTCTCATGACGCAACGGTGACATTAGTCTCAGAGATAAGAATGGGAATCGTAATGCGGCTTTTGAAAACACCTCCATTGTGTCAAGGTGCATTCAAAGTCTCCTGCGATCAGAGCAGCCCGACTGCATGCAGATTCCGTTAGAATTACCTAGAACGTATTTCAGAAGTTTTCCGTGAGTGTCGAACTCGCTCGAGAAGCTATTTGTGCTGTACACGTCCTCGGAAAACGATTATGGATGTAAATTCCTACCTAGGACGTGCGCGCTGATCTATCATCTCATTTACTTTTGAGAAGCTTCCTGCGGCTCATTCACTCATAAATGCACTGGGAAAATAAATATTTTTGCCAAATATCCATTTACATGAGAGAAATATTCATCTTCCATTATCGTATTTCTCGAGTCAAGTCATTCCCGGGCAATCCTCATTAGGTTTCAATTTTGACAATTGTATTACTCACACTGAGAAAAAAAATTATTTTTGCCAAATATTCATTTACTTGAGAGAAGTGTTTATTTCTTCAAAATTGTATTTCTCCAATCGAGTCATTTCCAGGCGAGCCTGACTAAGTTTCAATTACAATAGTCATGTTGCTCTAGAGGATGAATATGTTACACATGATCTTGGATGGACTCTTCTAATGATTATTCATTTTTCCAAAATTTTTCATTTTCTACAGGGAAGAATTTCGATCAATTTCTTAATGTTGATAATTATTGAAGAAGTTCACTCAAGGTCATAACTAACATGATCATCTTCTAGAGCAATATAATTGACATTATTGAAACCTAATGAGGATTGCCTGAGAATAACTCAAGTGAAGAAATACGGTATTGAAAAAATAAATACTTCTCTCGAGTAAATGGATATTTGGCAAAAATAATTTTTTTCTCACTGTATGAAGATGGTCATGTTAGTCATGACCTTGAGTGAACTCCCTCAATAATTATCAACATTAAGAAATTAATTGAAATTCTTCCCTCTAGAAAATAGGAGTTGACTATAATAGTTAACTATATAAGCAGCAACCAGGATAAACCTCTAATTCAATAAATTCAATCAATTTTGACTGCCAAACTAGATGGTGAGGGCATTAATACACTTGGAAATAATTCCGCAATCATTTCTATCTCGATAGTCGATCAATGTCTCGCCTAGAAGATATATAGCAATAATTTACAATTTCTTAAATCTGATCCATCAACAAAGATTGACGAATGTTTATCGAAAATGTAACAAATGGTTGTCGAATTAAATTGAACAATTTTTTTCTGAATTTTAATTAATTAGTTGTTCAATTTCACTAACTAGTTATCGAAATTCACCAATAAGTTGTTGAAAAAATGGATTACCAACCAGTTATTAGCAATGGATTACCAACAAGTTCTTAAAAAAATGAATTACCAACCAGTTATTGAATTTCAGCAACTAGTTGTTGAAATTCATCGAACCAAATAATTTTCTCCGCGAACTTGAACTTTAATTTGAGACTTTTAACGTTCCAAATTAAAAGCTTTCAAAGTCTGAACTTGAGATTTGGAAAGTCTCAAATTAAGACCTTCCAAAGGCTTAAATTAAGATCTTAAACTCTCAAATTGAGACTTTCCGAACACTCAATTTAAGAATTTCAAGCTTCAAATTAAAGCTCTTGAAAACCTTATCTTAAGGGGAGACTACAATGAGTTTTAAAAGTCGTGGGTTATTGGAGTGAGACTTTTCATACGTTGAAGATCGATTATATAGATCTGAAAACGAATAATTAGTGCAAAAAAATATATTTTTATTGTTCGTTTGTCCGAAAACGCTTAAAATGCTAAAAACAGTCAAGAGCCTCCAATTTTTGAGCTACAAAAGATTTTTTTTTCAAAATTTTCTAAAAAATGTGTGGAACAACAATTACAAGCCAGTTTTTTGGAATTCGACTCCTACACAGCTGATTTCGGTTTTTTTCATATAAAAAAATTCACTGTTTGTGTAAAAAAATACAAAAAAAGCAAATTTAGCCATGTAAGAGGCGAATTAAAAAAAAATAGCTCGTAATTGTCATTTCACATATTTTTCCGGAAATTTTGAGAAAAAAATCCTTCGTAGCTCAAAAATTGGAGGCCCTTGACTGTTTTTGGCATTTTAAGCGTTCTCGGGAAACGAACAATGGAAAAACATTTTTTTTGCACTAATTATTCGTTTTCAGATCTATATAATCGATCTTCAACGTATGAAAAGTCTCACTGCAATAACCCACGACTTTTAAATTCATAGTAATCTCCCCTTAAGACCTTTAAAATCCTAACATAAGGTATTATGTTTTTGAGTGGACATATGAAAAAATTGATAATTATGATGCAAACAATAATTTGTGAGTTTGAAGAATTTGAACAGACCACACGTTTTTTACTCACTTCGCCCCACTCATTGACCAATCAGTATTGTCCTCAATCAACAGTCAGATAATTTCAATATACGCTCGTTGTGCTAAGAGATAAATATGATCCGTCATTTTCAGAATTCGCGGAGAGACGCTGCAGTGAAGACGGAAGATGGGAGGGACGCTATGGTGTTTCGGGCGAGCGAGATCCTCCCAATGGCTGGACAAATTATACGCCGTGTTTCACTCCAGAAATGCTGTTACTCATTCGGAAACTTAATGCTGGAAATGCAGAAGCTGCCAAGGTGAGGAAACGCGGAGTCTTAAAGTTTTTATTGAATAAGTTTTTTGAGATTGTTAATTTCAAATTGAAAATTTTAATTCATAATCATCAGTCTTCCTTCTCTCTAGGAACGCGAAATATCCATTCACACTCATGAGTGCACAAAAAACCGCAGAAATCGACGATTTGGGGCTTTAGTCAAAAGTTCTAGAACGAAATTGAAAGTCGCATGAAAGTGAAATCAAGATTTCCTATCTCGCATATTAGTTTTTCACGCATTTTTCATTATTTTTAGAGGCGTCAGGATAAATCTTCGAATTTAGAGTGCGATAATCTCGGTCTTAGAGCTGGAGAGAATACAAAACCATTGAAAATTCATCATTTTTTTTCTCAAACACAAGATCTGGGGAAATTTTGGAAAAATTCTCAGTGATGCAGCATTCCCATTAACTTCTTTCCTGAATTTTTCATTTTTCTTCATTATTTTGGCTGTTTACATGCAGAAGCGACCTTAAGCGGCTGAAGAAAAATTATTTGTCTCAAGCAAATATGTTTCAGATATTAGAATTTTTTTCTCAGTGCATTCTGCATCTCAGGTGCATTCTGCATCTCAGTGCAGATCTGATACTTTATTTTTTTTCGACATTCTCAAGATTAGAGTCATGAATAGACGAAGCAAATACAATTACATTTAGAAAATCAGCTGAATTTGAACTAGAAGAGAATTGTTTGATGAAAAATACAGGGGCAGTGACTGGTCCCTCCACTGAGAAAAAAAAAATTTGCCAAATATCCATTTACTTGAGGGAAGAATTTATTTTTTCAATACTGTATTACTCCCCTCAAGCCATTCTCAGGCAATTCTCATTAGGTTTCAATTATGTCAATTATATTGCTCTAGAAGATGAACCTGTTGGTTATAACCTTGAGTGACCTCCTTCAATAATTATCAACATTAAAAAATTGATCGAAATTCTTCTCTCTAGAAAATACGAAATTTAGGAAAAATGAATAATAATTAGGGGGAGTCCCTCGAAGGTCATGTGGAACATAATCATCCTTTAAAGCACCATGATTGTTATAATTGAAACCTAATCAGGCTCGCCTGGGAGTGACTCGATTGGAGAAATACGATTTTGAAAAAAGAAATACTTCTCTCAAGTAATTGAATATTTGGCAAAAATATTTTTTTTTCTCAGTGTCCGTATTCGATGACGGAATAATTCCTGCTACTGGAGGTCGGGTCATTCATATAACCGAACTACTGCGGGGTTCAGCGCTTTTACTATTTAAATATGGGAGTACATCGCCCGACTTGAAGACGACATGCTACATTTTTCTCCAATTTCCATCAAACAAACAAGAGGAAAAATCAAACAGAACTGCTCTATTTATTCATCCAATTTCATGTATTCGTTCACTGCTTGAATATATTCTCGCCGTTCGTGTTGATAGATATTATTGTTTCACATTATTCTTGTTGATTTTATCATTAAACTGCGAATAATCTCGCCTTTTTATCTTCTATTTATTGATTCCACGTGGGATGTGAGGAAAGTGGCATCAAATGGGTTCATGTGGGTGGCAAAAACTGCAACTGATGCCCCTGAGCTTGGCAGAATCTCGGGCTTCGGGAGATTTTTTTATTCAAAGCTTTACTTCTGTTAAGTTTTTCATTTAGCAAATAAAATGAATCTGCTGAAAAATAGAAGGATAATCGAACTACGTATCTGCTTTTCTCACATGTCGAATTTTAAGGAAGGATAATATTTATCGAGGCAACTGGGTCGAAGACGGTAATCCGAGGGGCCATTCATTTGTGAAATCATTGTGTTACTCAGGACTAAAATCGTGCGAAATCAGTTGAAATCACTTGCAATCGGTGAAATCTCATGAAAGAGAATGAAACTTTTTTGACTTATTTGTGGTGTATTCTTCTACGTATGCCCATTCATGTGGATTATTTTTCACACAGAAAAAAAAACAAATCGGTGAAAAAAAGGCGTATTTTCTTGTACGACCTCCTGAAATCCTCAGAAAGTATCGAAACATCGTGTTACCAACAGAGACACTATCTGCGGGAGAAGACAAAAAAACAAAACAAAAATACGACATCAACAATCGATATTTTCTGAGAATCTCCCATACGACGTTGGATGTTTGACTGCGGTAGAAATAGATATTCAATCGAATGAATGAAAAAAATATATATTTGATTCTCATGGCTTCACCTTGATGGTTTCATCCCTACATTTACCCCCATTGTAACTCTCATGCTTGAGCTTTCTTACATTAATATGATGCATTTGTTTTCCTCCGAGTTCTCTCCCCATTCCCTCCTAGTCCATTCCCCCTCCGCGAAATAGATGAAATCGAAAATTGGAAATCACTTGAAATCGTCTGAAATCGCGGAATCGCCAAAAAATCCCAGGCAATTACATGAAATCAACGATTGCATGAAATCATGGAAATCGCCGTGAAATCGCGTGAAATCAGCAATCACTGTCATCGGATTTCCAAATGAATGGCCCCTCGGAAATTACATCAATCGAGTGGTCTTGAAATAACGAAAAACATGAAATGCACAGGACAGACGGACCAACCACTCGAAACTGCACTAGAAATTTCAGCTCTGCTCCGAAGATTTTCCTCATTCTCTCCTTTCAGTGGTCAGGTCGACAATATGTGCAGACATTGGAGCTGAAAACACTGAGATCGGGTCTCCCATCAACAAGCGACCCAGTTCGGGGGTTCTCTCAACGACTCCGTTACCTAAAGCGCTGCGATTGTTTCCCACAGTTATAACTCTCGGCGAACATTCCACAACAGACCAGGGCCCTTCGCCCATGGTCCATTGCTTAGTTGTCAACTGGGCTCCCATTTTTTTAATTTTCTCAATTGCATTTACCTGACATGACTTCTGCTTCAGTAGTTAAACTCGTTGAGACTGTCAGACACGTCGGGGAAATTCAATTTATGAATTGCTTTCAGGTGAAATTAGATATTGCCGAGAAGACGCGAACGCTTGAATTCGTTGGATTAAGCATCTCGCTGACAGCACTTCTTATATCGTTAGCGATATTCTGCCGATTTCGGTGAGTAGTCGGATTAAATACTGGTAAAAGAGATTTTCTGGGGTCATCAAAAACTGGGAAAACGCAGTATACACGGAGAGAAAAGTTGAATAAAAACTAGTAGAAAATCGTGGCAAAATTGTTATACGACAGGTCATTGTGGAGTGAAATTCGAATTCAGTAAAAAATACCGCGTTTTTAAGGCTTGAAAATTATTTTTTCGTCCGTGCATGTCGTACTATTCTGTCCGTTAAAAATTCGTATGCTGCTGGATTTTCCGAGAAAAATCAGAATCTATGGCCTTTTTACTGTAAAATACAACTGTTAAACGACAGCAAAGTATAATTTTCACCAGAAATTCGATGAAATTTTTCAAACCATTTCCACCTTCCAACATCTCTCAAAAAATGTCAACAATCTTTCTCGTACCTGACCCTCTTCCATTACTTCACAACTCGCCTGCCAATCAAACTCCCCCGATCAATTCCATGATTAATTGAAATTCAATTAATCCACTTTCAGATCACTCAGAAACACCCGAACACGCATTCATAAAAATCTATTCGTAGCGATGGTTATTCAAGTAGTAATACGCCTAACCCTCTACATCGATCAGGCATTCGTAAAGACTGATGTGTTTGGTTCTCAACAGGGTATAAATAATACGGTGAGTTTTTGTGGAAAGGCAGTAGAAAAAAAATGTCAAGCACAGGGTGCTGTACACTCGTACCATTAAATTTCGTAATGCTCTTTCCAGCCTGTTCTATGTGAAGCGAGCTATGTGCTCCTTGAATACGCTAGGACTGCTATGTTCATGTGGATGTTCATAGAGGGATTTTTTCTCCATAACATGGTAACCGGTGAGTATTTCCTCTTTATTTCGCCGCCTTTGCGTCGCGTTTAATCTTCCCCCAAATATCTCACCGACTTTATGAGTTTTACGAAGCGACGAAGTATCAAAAGAATTTTAAAATAATACTCATGCTCTAGTTTCACGTATGGATGATGAATTCTGCTTGTCTTTCGACGAAATAATGGTCGAGATTGATTTTATGGAAGATGAATAGACGGGGGAAAAATCGTGGGCAAGTGCTCTGCAAGGAGCTCTATAAGTTTGCTACGAAATCTCGTGCAGTTTCCACGGATTTTTTCATCAAATTGGAAATTTTAATTGTGAAATTTACAGTGTGCATTGATTTTTTCAGTGAAGCGTGAATTTTCAATGAGGAAATTCCTTGAAATTTTAGTGGAAGTGCCACTTGACAGAAGATTCCGAGGAGTTTTGCGGAAATTTCGAGCGAAAGTATTTAGTTGTTATATTTAAAGTTCTTCTACCCCTCTTAAAATTCATGAGAGTACTTACGGTGTTTCGTGTATTGATCTCCGGGGTGGAGGGGGGGGGGGGGGTGAAACGGAAGGGGAGTCCTACTATTATCGAGCCCTGATTCAATCGCAGAACACGAAAAATCCAAATTTTCAAATAAACTTTTATATTATAATATTGACGTTTTAAGGTCCAATTTTTTTTCGTGAATTAATTCAGTAGCGAAGTGGTAAAACGGTTTAAGTCGACTTATCTCCCAGTTGAGAATATTTCCGAATCTAAGAAAAATAGCGAACTTTTCGTAATTACTTTTATTGTAGCTCTCAATTGGCTCTACAAAAAAGGTTATAGCAAAAATTTTCCTATCCCCCTTAGATTCCGAGATATTCATTGAAAACTGGCCAATAGTCAAAATTGACTTATATCATTTCATCACTTCGCCACTGAATTGATTTTTTTAGAAACAGTTACGCGTATTGCATTATTTTTCAATCATAACTTTCTTTAGAATTATCGGAATTGCACTTATGAAACATTCAATAGAAAAATTTAACAGAATTCGATTTTTCTATATCACTTATTCTTTTCATATATTTTCTGTAGAATTTGCTTGACTCAAATTTTTTTCATTCTATTTTTCTTTTCTTCTCATCAAGAAAATCAAACGAAAAAACTTGGAAAATTTGAGCCGAGGAAATTCTATAGAAAATATCTCAATAGAATAAGTTATACAGAAAAATTGAATTCTATTGAGTTTTTCTACTGAATATTTTCTATTGAACATTTTAATAGAATCGGCCAAAAACGAATAGAACAGTTCAATAGAAATTCAATAGAATTTTCTAACGAATCCGATAGATTTTTCTATTAAATTCTCGCATACTAGTTTTGCACGCATTTTTCATTATTTTTAGAGGCGTCAGAAAAATCATCGAATTTAGAGTGCGATAATCTCGGCCTTTACAGCTGACGATGATACAAAATCATTGAAAATTCATCATTTTTTTCTCGAACGCAAGATCTGCGAAAATTCTGGAAAAATTCCGAGTGATGTAGCGTACTCAGATACTTCTTCCCTGAATTTTTCAATTTTTTTTCATTATTTTGACTTTTCACATGGAACACCCTAATTATAGAGACCCCTGAATGAATCAATGATGAATCATTATCGGATCGATCTGATTATTTTGCGATTTACTTGTGGAGAGGGATATACCATTCTGTTCCGAATACATTGAATGGTTTGCCTCTCGATTTTCTCCTCAAACTACTGCACACACAATGGACATCTCTTCGGATATCTTCCAGTGACTGTATTCCACGAGACTTCGTACTATCGTATGTATCGATTAGTCGGGTGGGGATTCCCAGCTGTTATGACCTTCGCATGGGCTATTGTGACTGCATTCTATTATCATCCGTTGAAGTAAGTAGATGCGACACATCGTCTTTAAGAGGATTCACTGCTTATTTGTAATAATGATGTTCCTGGGGTTTAAGATGCTGGTGGGGATACAATCTCTCTGTGTACTTTTGGATATTGGAGGGACCCAGAATGGCAGTCATATTGGTAAATTTGGGCACTCGGGGAAAGAACGATCTTATGTCACTGAAATCATTTTTTGGGTTAAGGAAATGCGATGTACTGGTATTCTATCAATATGTAATATTCTGTAAATATCCAATACGTTTTCTTGACCCTATAATTGGCCTGTGGGCTGTTGGGTCTGTGTACATCAATAAATAAATAAATAAATGAATGAATGAATGAATGAATGAATGAATAAATAAATAAATAAATAAATAAATAAATAAATATACGTTTACAGAAAGTTTAGTAGTAATTTCCAAGAGTATGATATTTACTTCAATTTACGGGGAATAAATAATGAAATTTTGGATTCACTGAAAATTCAATGGAATTCCACATTTCAATGCCAGATTACACTGAATTTCCCATAAATTCAAAATTCAAGGAAATATTTCCCTTAATTTTCTTTTTTTTAATAGATATTCATTGGATAATTGAACTAAAATTTACAATTTCCATTGATTTTTTTTATTATATTGTCAATTTTGTTGGAATTTTCAGTATTTTTAATCGCTTTCTTAACTTCTGCCACGAGAAAATGATGTGTTGAGCCGAGATATACTCATTTTATTACGAAGAGTTCATCTTTAAGTCATCAACATTTTACGGAATTCCCAAACGATTTGCTCTTGAGAGATGATATATTTCGCTCAAGAAACTAGTTTCGTGATAATCGATCACAACGTGAATATTTAGTGCTAAATTACACTGAGTTTCCAGTTAACGGAAAATTCAAGAACACATTTCCCTAAATTTGTTCTTTATTGATATTCATTGAATAATTTAACTGAAATTCACAATTTCCATTGATTTTTCTAATCAAATTGTAAACTTTGTCGAAATTTTTTGTATTTGTGATCAATTCTTCAACTTCTGACACGACAAAACGTCGTGTTGAGACGATTAATTCTCACTTTATTGCGAAGTTCGTGTTTGAAATTAATGAATGAGCACTTCACGGAATTCTCAAGCGATTTGCCCTCGAGAGATAATATATTTCACTCAAGGTATTAGTTTCGTGATGTTCGGTCGTTTTTTCTCTGTGTGGGGTTCGCCACTACTTCCAATAGTATTTTATCAAAAAAAATCATCTCAAATTGACTATTTTAATCGTTGTTCAACAGCTCAATTTCTTATTCCTGATGAATATTGTACGAGTGCTGGTTGTGAAACTGCGACAGAGCCACAGCAGTGAAACCGAACAAGTCCGGTAATTAACTAATCAACATTTGTAGTTGAACATTCATTTGAGTCTAGTGAATTGAGAATTTTGCATCAACTTTATTAAAATTCTGAAGGTCTAAACTTTATTTTTCATTTTGAATCGGTTTTTGGTTTAAACAATCTGAGACAAATTTGGAAGGCGCATTGTGACACATTGACATCTCTAGATACATCAGCCCGCCTCATGTCCAGTGAAAAATAAAAGAAAATTCGATTATGTCCACAGAAAAGCGGTGAGAGCTGCCGTGGTACTGCTCCCACTCCTGGGTATCACTAATTTGATATCGATGGCGGGAGTTCCACTCGAAGAGACCATGTGGTTTGCCCTCTGGTCGTACACCACTCATTTCTTGACATCATTCCAGGGGGTTTTCATCGCCACGCTGTACTGTTTTCTCAATGGCGAGGTATGTTTTTGTGGTACATGCACTATAATTGGCGAAAAATCAACAAGAATAATCCCCAAGTATGCAAACAATGGCGTTCATTCTCTTTCTTTTCATAATTATGGCATGCGTGGGATAATGGGATATTCGCGGGCCCGAAGATAAAGTTGAAGAACTAGGGGAGCATCGAATTTATATTGGAACGCGGTCATCGTTATGCCCTAATTTCGTATCTCGTTAAGGATAATTATGGAGGAATTCGTTCAATTGAAATGCAATGAATGCCATCAATTTATTCAATACGTACGACAAAATTTAATGGATAAACTTGGCGCGTTCTTCAGAGTTTTGTTGAATTTTTATTGGAATTCCATGAGAATTATGTTTTTTTGCGTTGATTTTTCCTGCAAAAATCAGGCAACTTTGTCGTGCTATTTTTTGTAGATATTTTATATAGAGAAGTCAATAGACATTGATTTTTATATGTCGATTGCCCTCTTGAGAGCTTTTATCGAAATTCTTGGGGATAAGTTTTCAAAGTTTTTTTCCGTTGAATTTTTACTGTTTCTTGGCGAAAAATCAAATGAAAAAATTTAGAAAACTTATGTCTAGGAAAAATCAACATCTATTGACGTTTTGTTATTGAAAATCAATACGAAAAACAAGCAGAATTCTCATACAATTCCAATAGCAATTCAATAAAACTACTGAGAAAAAATAATAAATGTAATTAAAGTGAATTCAGAAAAATTCTAGTGCTAGTACTAAAAATTTTATTGGGCAGCCCATGAATTTTTCTCGCATTGATATTTAATTTCCAAAGGAACGCTCAGAAATTTTACTTGAAAAGCACTCGAATTTTCCTAAAGAATTTCTGACCGTATAGTTAACGATCGTCTTAATGTCCTACGATTTTCATTCTCTCATTTCAGGTGAGACTCGCTCTGAATAAAACTATGTCTCTATACGTGTCGTTGAGAGCGGCTGAACGACACTCGCGTCGACAGTCGACATTCAGTGCCTGTCAGCCGCAACGGATAGCATCAGGTATTGGGACCATTTATATTTGAAACAGCGATGAATAGAGGAGGCTCTTCCCAATTGGAGAATGATTCTTCTTGCTTGAGAGCAAAATTAAATTAATTTTATGTGATTGCCTGGGATTTTTTTGTGATTTCGCGATTTCAGACGATTTCAAGTGATTTCAAATTTTTGATTTCATCTATTTCGAGGCGAAGGGGGGAATGGAGTAGGAGGGTATGGGGACAGAACCCGGAGGGAAAGAAATGTATCATATTAATGCAAGAAGGCTCAAGCATGAGAGTTATAAGGGGGTAATTGTAGGGATGAAACCATCAAGGTGAAGCCATGAGAATCAAATATAAATTTTTTTCATTCATTCGATTGAATATCTATTTCTACCGCAGTCAAGCATTCAACGTCGTATGGGAGATCCTCAGAAAATATCGATTGTTGATGTTGTATTTTTGTTTTATTTTTTTGTCTTCTCCCGCAGATAGTGTCTCTGTTGGTAACACGATGTTTCGATACTTTCTGAGGATTTCAGGAGGTCGTACAAGAAAATACGCCTTTTTGTTACCGATTTGTTTTTTTTTCTGTGTGAAAAATAATCCACGTAAATGGGCATACGTAGAAGAATACACCACAAATAAGTCGAAAAAGTTTCTTTCTCGTTTATGTATTCGAAAGGCTCGAGTTGCCGATTTCACGATTTCATGAGATTTCACCGATTGCAAGTGAGTTCAATTGAAATCATCTGAACTCTATGAAACCCCGGGATATCACTTGATTTCAACTGATTTCCTACGATTTAAGTCCTGGATGACACAATGATTTCACAAATGAATGACCCCTCGGACCCCTCGGATTAACGTTTATTAATGGTTTCACCGAAGCAGCTGGAAAATTTCACTTGGAATTAATAGAAAGAACAAATCGTCCTCTGACATTCCGGTTTTTCTCGTAAATTTCTCGATGCAATGAAGCCATTGTCTGTGCAATCGAGCAATTTCAAAACCAATAAAAATCGCTGCAATATGAAGAGAACGGCATCGTCAATGTAAAAATTTTATTCCTTCTCCAGTGGTTGAAATGGAACCCAGGGAATTGAGACCTAGCGGATGGTTACGCCTGTGCTGTCGCGGGACGAATACTCCACCCCCTGATCAACCCGCTGAGTGAGTGCAATAGTCCGGAAGGATGCATTTTACATTTTTTAATGGATGCTTAAGAAAACTGAAATGCGCGCAATTGAAGTATCTGCGGATGATGTTTTTTATCGCGCGAATGTTATTTAACCCGTGAAATCATGTTTCATCGTTACTATCGTAAAAAGCACAAGCGAACACTTGAATACCTCGTGAAGAAAAGATACAAATTCATTTCTTCACATCACACTAGATGAAAAATCGACATAATATCACAAAAATCATTTCTTGAGCGAAAAACATCGCATACATATTTGATGAATTTATGGCAGGTTTCAGACAAGAAATCGGTGCTCTTCGGGCTAAGGAGGAATTTACTGAATGAAAAGGTGATGTCTTTTTTCGAAATGAGATAATATTCCTTAAAAGACAAGAATAGTTTGACAGAAGGAAAAGAAGATATTGCTTTCCTTCGAACTCGAAGCGATTGAGCGTAAGCGACGGTTATATATTTTTTATATCTGGAGGTTTTCCTCTGCATAAACTCTCTATTCATTCAGTATGAAAGTCTCCAATTCATGATTCACTGAATCGAAGCTTTTATTATTTTTAGCCATTTTCTCATCTTCTGCCACGAAAAAACCGATTTCTTATGGCAAGAAATTCTCACTTTATCATGAAACGTTCATGTTCAAGTCATGAACATTTCACCGAAATCTGACATTGTCTGACACATTATCCGGAATTCTTATCCCAAGGAATTTATCCTCAAGAGATGAGATATTTGGCGCAAGAACTTAGTTTTGTGATATTATGACGATATAAACTGCAACGCGGAGGGTGTGTAAAATTTAACTTTACACACAAGTGATTAAAATAATTGTACAGTTCAGCGAAGCGGTAAACCGGGTTAAGTCGATTTTGACTATTGGCTAGTTTTTGACGAATATCTCGGAATCTAAAAGAGATAGAAAAATTTTTGTCATGACCTTTTTATAGCCCTTAATTGGTTCTACAAAAAAGGTCATAAGAAAAATTTTGCTATCTCTCTTGGGTTCTGAGATATTCATCAAAAACTGATCAAAAGTCAAAATCGACTTAACCCGGTTTACCGCTTGACTACTGAGTTCATTCTCACTGTTTTAGAACAACAGTTTGACCTTGGTGGTTCTGGCGGAATTATATCGCCAAGGAGAGAGCAGCCTACTGACCAATTACCTCAACAAAACTGAACAACAATAACCGAATAAAAGAATCATAATTCACGGAATATGTCTCGTGAAATCGAACACGTTTGAAATATGAAGAACCCAGAAAGGACTGATAGAATATTTCGAGCATCAACACACCATCGCACAGACGAAGATAGAACCATAACTCATTGTTAGAAATCGAGAGGATCGTCGTGAAGATGAGGAATACTGGACTCCTCCGAGATTTTTGCAATGGCCTTTCATGAGAATCGCGACTCTGTAGTGCAATAGTAGGCTCCATCGAATATAGTGTAGTAATTTTTCTAATGCCTCATTGGAATCAGTCGATGGGAGGGAGTACTTGAGAGTTGGGTAGAACCATCAGAAAACGATTTCCGTGAACAGAATGGCATAATGGACCAGCGCAGTTCAGCGATTAAACTGTACAATTGAACATGGCAAGTGGATTTTATTCAAGCACTCCGGACATTTTCACTTCGTTGAAATCGTTTTCAACACTTGTAGTTGAACGTCGGAGTTTCCAGGCGAAACTCATTTGACCCTTGACTGAGAGAAAAAAATTGTTCTCAAATAAGTCTTGTTTGAACCAAATAAATCGAATTCGATTTTCCTAGGTATTAGGGTAATTGGTGCCTGTTTCTCAAGATTCGCTGAGAAAACATTTTTTTTTTATTGTGCAAATGTTTGATAACAACAAGTAATTTCAACAGAAATTTTCAATTTTCTCCCGTGGAAATATTGTTTAAAAAAATCCAAATTATTTCCTACCGAATTCATAAAATATTTTGACTCCAGAATTTAAGTTTTTCACATTTTCGGTTGGTCTATAATTGAATGGAGTGCGAAATATATGTTCGTTATACTTTTTCACATCCATTGCGACCTTTTCGACCGCAGAAAAATATCTTCATCAGTTATTGGCTATTTTATCAGCCTTCGCGTTTGTGGGTCATTCCGCCCAGAGTTTAATTTGTTTAATTTGTGGGGTTTAATTTATTTTAAGATCACATCATTCATGAAAGTTGCCATTCATCTTGAAAATTCAGTTTTTCATGGTAAACTATCATTGACATTTCAAGGACAGCTTGAATTTTAAAGATCATTATGAAAATTGAATATTGAATTCAATTGAATTTTCAATAAATTGAGATTTCCGTAAAATAATGGCCTGAATTTTTATTATTTTCAATCATTTTCGTTGTCGTATGGATCGGGAAATTATAATTTCATTGAATATTCAAAGAATCAGTTACCTGATTTTTTAGTAACAAAGCAGAGATAAATTTCATGTAAATTCAGTGTTGTTAAAAACTTCTAGTTTCTTTATTTGAAATTTCAAGAGTAATTTTCCAACAGTGTAATGAGCGAAGAACAGAAAATTCATGTCGTAGAATTAGAATAAAGGATGAATAAAAAATGTAATTAAATTTAATGGTAGAAAAATAAAAGATTAATTCATTGATTGAAGAACATTTTCGTTCCAGAGAACAGAACTTCCTCCATCATCAAAAAAACAAGAATTCCACGAGAAAGGACGCCATGGAGCCTTTTGTCACAGTGTGATTCATTTGTAACGAGAAGAGGGAATTTGATCGTGGAGTAATGCCTCATAGACTCGTCCCTGCTGACGAGGTAATGAGGCACCACCGGGTGAAGTGAAGTACACACAATGCCGGAGAATAAAAACCCCGAGGGATACATTTTCCCTCATGTTTTCAAACGAGTAGCTCGAGCTTTCATTGTGATTTTTTTCCACAACAAGATGGAAATTTGTACGCTTATTTATTGTAATTGTATGATACGAGTGGTATTTTCATGTGGTGAGTGTCAAAATATTTCATGGAGTGAATGAGTGAATAATGAAACAGGGGAGAAAGTTTATTGAGAAATTCATGTGATTAAATGCCTAGATATTGCGTATCGGTATTGAGTGTATTTTTTCAGGTGAAAATTAAAATTACGATTGTCGTTCGATACTATATTAGAATATAAAAATGCGTGTGGATAATTCTGTAGGCGAGTTCTATGAGAAATTCTACAGATTTTCTTCGTGAGGAATTCTACGGCACATGGCTACAGGTGGGACGAGCGATGTTTGCCGATTAATCGAAGGCATCGATTTTTCATGCCGAAACATCGAAGATTTAAGAAAGTTAGCAAAATTTTCCACTTTTTTATCGAATAATAATATCGGTTGATTGAGAATAAACAAATGATAATTTTCCGCAATCGGAAGTAATTATTTTCTGCTGCTTGTATCTTATAAATGGGAAGTGGATAGATCCAATCGATTTTTTTGGTTAGTCTATCGGCTACTACTATTATCAATAATTTCTCTATCTTGTAAAAATCGGAATTGACTTCGGGTGATAAAAAAATCTTTATTGAAAAATGCAAGACAAAGTGGCATAATTTTCAATAGAAATTGAGGCACAATACAAATAGAATTTTCAAAAAAAAAAATCAAATAGCATTCTAATGGAATTCTAATTTTAAAAAATCAATTTCTATTTCTTTTTCTATTAATTTTTTTCATACCCTGAGAGAAATATTGTCATAATATTACAAAACTAATTTCTTGCGCCAAATATCCCATCTCTTGAGGATAAATTTCTTGGGATAAAAATTCCGGGTAATATATCAGACAATGTCAGATTTCGGTGAAGTGTTCACGACTTGAACATGAACATTTCATGATAAAGTGAGAATTTCTTGCCACAAGAAATCGGGTTTTTCGTGTCAGAAGATGAGAAAATGACTAAAAATATTAAAAGCTTCGATTCAGTGAATCATGAATCAGAGACTTTCATATTGAATGAATAAAGAGTTTATCCAGAGGAAAACCTCCAGATAAAAAAAATATATAACCGTCGCTTACGCTCAATCGCTTTGAGTTTGAAGGAAAGCAATATCTTCTTTTCCTTCTGTCAAACTATTCTTGTCTTTTAAGGAATATTATCTCATTTCGAAAAAAGGCATCACCTTTTCATTCAGTAACTTCCTCATTAGCCCGAAGAGCACCGATTTCTTGCCTGAAAAATACCATAAATTGATCAAATACGTATGCGATGTTTTTCGCTCAAGAAATGATTTTGTTATATTATCTTTATCTTTTTCTCTTAGTGTACGCGGTCACTTTATCCGAAGTTGATAGAACGCTTTCTGATAAAAAAATCTATTTTTCTTATAATTCGTTTGATACTTCATTTTTTAAGACATCACCCCAGTCTTATACACGGGTCTTATAGAAATAGTCACATTCCTCTCGGAGAATTCCCGGAGGAGAAGCAAGAGAGCATTTCTGCAGAATTATCTCATGCGTAAACGGTCATCAGTGTCGTCGAGTGTGAAATAAAGAACCACCTTCTCCCTATAGAATCCACGAACAAATCTAGAAAAATCACATCTGATGAAATAATAAGGATCAACTGAACTTTTCATAAACCTCAAGTTTCTCAATTTTATAGGGGTCAATGATTTCCTCGAACTGTAAATAAAGTATGTAAACATTTATTGTGTTATCAATCAATCCCATTTCGATGATCTACAACTTAGTGAGTAGGAACATTAATTATAGTAGGCAGATGTCGATATTAAGTACAGGTTCTAATATTAAATGATCGTATTACTATTTAGTATGTGGTTTTCGCCGATTGCAACTCAATTGTGTAGTTTAAATTAAGTAGAAATTATCACAGACATTATTATCAAAAAGCTCGGAATTATGGGGTGAAGTGGGTCAAACGAGATTCGCTAATGTCATTCGAACCAAAAAAATATTTCCATTATTGCAAAAGTAGTGAATTTCCATTAATTTTTTAGTTCCTGCACAAGTTCCTCTTTCAATCGTCAATTCAGTAGCGAAGCGGTAAAACGATTTAAGTATATCCATAACTTTGGTTATTTTTTCTCCAGTGAAATGCAATTTTTGAAAGTTACGAGCGTTTTCTGTAAATAATTTATAAACAATCAATTTTTCATCTTAAAAATCATTAGTTCGGAATCGTAACAAATTAATTCATATTTCAGAATTTTACTAGAAATTGATTTCATGTTTAAATAATTCAACAAGAGTTTAATTATTTAAACATGAAATAATAATTATTATTATTAAATCTCTGTTTAATAATAATTTCAAGTTTAAACAATTGGAATTAGTTATTTATAGACAACGCATGTTAAAAAAATTATAATTCTATGCAAAATTTAATTTGACTAAAGGTGAGTATTCATGATTTTTTCAAATTTTTCTCACGCTATTAAATTCACAAACTTGATGATTGAAAATGGCCGAGTCGGTGGCCGGGTCTGTGTGTCGGCCTCGTTAACCCTCTAAGGTGAAAAGCGTAGTAAAGCGTAGTTGCGCGCTCGAGTGGGGACGCTGGCCTTCCGCTTTGACGACCGTAGAGTGGGGATACTGAAATTCACCTTAGGGGGTTAATACATTGTTTTCAATCGAAATGAACAGAAAAACAATATAATTTTCAATAGAATCTTAGAATTTTCGATTTTTGAAGTCTAGATCCATGAATATTCTCATGATAATATCATTGTGACCATTGTTGTTATTTTTACACCTTTATTTCTCATAGAAAAATCTAGCGCTTTCTTTAAGAAATTCTATTAAATAAAAAATTTACATAAATTAATAAAAACAATAATAATAATAATAAATAGTGAAATAAAATAGTAAAAATATATTAACAATGAGTAAGAGATAAAATCTTTTAGACGAACTCAAATAGATTTTTTATAGAGTTTCAACAGAAATTCTATAGAATTTCTTACAGAAAGTTAGACATTTTATTAAATTTATTTTCACACATGTAACCTTTCCCAACATTTTTAAATTCAAGGTAGAGGTAATGTAGAAACTCCTTCTTTTGCAGTTCTCAATTCGTTTTGCAAAAGAATTTTCCTACTCTCTTGAATTCGGTAATTTTTCTCGAAAACTCATCCTCAAGTTGAGTTTACTCAACTCGTTTCATCCCTTCACCCCAATATGTTCAGTTCCCATTGCCATTCTCGAAGGAAAATCCTCAGAAAAAGTTTCTCACCCCCAGACATTGATTTTATTTGATCATGTCTCATCGAAATTCGTCGTGGAAACTCTTCTCAGTGTCAACCATTTTGCTGTCGAGGAATAAATCCATTTTACTGAGCACCTCCGACAAACTCAACGTTCTGTCATGGTTGATATCAGAGACTTCGATTAAATGTTGCGCCTCCTGAATCGCATGTCTTGGATTCCTCGGATCAATGTACATCTGCAAATGGGTAAAAAGAGAATGTGATGAATAGATGAATGCAGGCCGACACTGGTGGCTCTCGAGAGATTACGGGGATAATATGCTCATCAATATGTGAATATTCATGAAGTTTAATGTACAGGGTCTGAATTAATGTAATGCACGCTCCATTAACGGAGGAAAATGGCACTTCGAAATCTCAGGAGAATAGTTTTACATGAGAAGCCAATTAATTAATTAATTATGGAGAAATGGCCCAGAAAAATTTGAATAATTATGGAGAAGTTATTTAATTCAGTAGTTTAGTTATGGAATAAAATTACCAGGCATGAAAAAATTTAGTAGAAAAATCTAGCGAATTTGTTAGAAAAAATCCTATTAGACTTCTATTCAATAGAAAAAGTCAATAGAATTCGATTTTTCGATATAATTTATTCTGTTCGATATTTTCTACAAAATTTCCTCGGCTCAAGTTTTACAAGATTATCTAATTGTATTTATCTTCTCTTTTCATCAAGAAAATCAAACAAAACAACTTGGAAAATTTCAGCCGAGGAAATTCTATGGAAAATATTTCGGGAAAATAAGTTGCATAAAAAATCGAATTTTTTTGATTTTTTCTATAGAATATTTTCCATTCAATAGAAATGCAATAGAATTGTTTAACGAATTCGCTAGGTTTTTCTATTAAACTTATCCAATCGCGACGAAACAACTTCAAGATGAGTTGTATGGACAATTCTATTAAAGTTTCTGTTCAATACAATTCTTATACAGTTCTACTAGTTTTTGAACGATTCTATTGAGAAATTCCGTAGTTTATCTGCGGGGTCGATGGTAAATATTCTACAGAAAAAATCAATAGAATTCTATTGTTCTATACAATCTATTCGATTGCGATATTTTCTATAACAATTTCTCTCCTCAAATGTTCTAAGTTCTAAGTTTTTTGATTGATTCTTTGAAATAAAAGAGAAAAAAATAGAATGGAAACGACTTAGCGAATTCCTGTTGAGGCATTCTGATAGAAAATGTCTCAATAGAAAGATGAAATTCTATTCGGTTTTTATATAAAATAGTTTCCATGCTCTTGAATATAAGCATATTCATGAAGTGTGATGTGCAGGATCTGAACTAATGTAATGAACGCTTCAGTACCGGAGGCATGAATCCAGGAACCCAGGAGAATAGTTTTGCGCGAGAAGCTAATTAATTACTTCATTATGCCGAAGTTATTTTATATTCATTTTTATTTTTATTTTATATCAACTTCTTCTACGGATTTTTTGAAAAGACGATTTTATTTTTCAAGGAATTGGCAAAATGTTTGGAAACCCTTTCTCCAATCTCTAAAAATTTCGCTACCTCTCATTGCAAGTTTTTTTCGTGAACTTTGTAATGAAAAATGAAAAATAAAAGATCTGAAAAAATCCTACTAATAATAATAACAACAGAAAAGACTATGAAGTGAATAGTTTATTCAGAAAAATTAACATCTATTAATTTTTTTCGAACGAAAATATTCATTAGAATAACTCTCTCGATTATAAAAATTGAAATCAATTTCTGGTGATAAAAATTTGGTACTAAAAATTAAGACTTCAAAATTAAGGGTCACAAGGGTCAAAATAAGGGTTACGAGGGTCAGATTTAGGGTGTCAACAAGTGTCACAAGAGTCAGATTACGGGTCATAAGGGTCACAAGGATCAATAAAGGTCCAAATAAGGGTCACGGTTTAATTTATATTAAAAATTACAGAATTTTGAATATAAATCGATGCAAAAGATGAAATTCCCCTCCGGATTAACTTTTTCATTCTCTCTATTCTACGAATATTTCCTTCGAATTAAAAAATATTCCCCTAAAACTCACGTTCAAGTGTCATTAACCAACTAAAACCCAAATCAAATAATCCTGTAATGAAATATTACCAGAAGTTCTGCTCTGTCCGCCTTCCCATCCTTATTTTTATCAATGAGATGTCGAAACTCCTGTCTCCGGTCCTCACTTCCCCCCACTGGTTGGGCATTCTGCTCCTCATGAAAGTCCAAACCCATTCCGTCCGACGGTAAATCAGCAAATTCGTTTTCAGTCAATTGCTCGTCACCATCTCGATCTATTTAACCAGAATCCACACTACTGTAGACAATTATACTGGTAATAGCACAGAGGTGGGAGGGATTCAATCGACTCACCGAACTTTTCGAATAAATCCTCGACCATCTGCAACAATGCTCGATGACTGCTCTCGGGATGAGTGAAAGCGAGAAATTCGTCGAGTGCCAACTTTTCAGGATCATTTCTCGCCGCCTCAATCCACCTCGCTCTATCTCTCATAATACTTTCTTTCAACGCTCTCGGGAGCTGAGAATGCTTCTTGTCGTGAGAGCTAATATATTTTTCGGAAAAACCGTGGGATCGGAGGAAGTAGGCGTGATATTCCTCCCACGAGACTTCTCCTGTGATAAAAGACGTTATTCGATTCAATATGACAATTTTCGCGCTGCAGATTTTCCTCGCGAATTGTTTGGTGGAGTGGTGAACGGGCAACGGGGTAACATCGACATTTTTTTCACGATTTTTTATGTAGCTCCAGGAACACAATTGGCAATTATCAATTTTTTATCACAATGTCTGAAATTTTTTACTTGTTTCAAAAATATTTTCGTTACAAATGAATGGACCTGTTTAGTTGTTTTAAGAGAGAGGATTAAATTATACTAAACAAACAATTTATTTATTTCAAGTAATTTCATATAATTAGATTTCCTGAAATTTCAGTGGAACTTGAACACAATAAAAATTTCCGGAATTTGGCACGGAAAATTCAGACGAAAATTTGCAACAGTGTACGCAATATTGAGCAATTATCCACCTTCAGTGGAATCATTTTCGCAGGGATAGCCATATCCATTAATTATACCAGGAATTATCCATTAATTACTGTTGTATTATAAAGTTGTCAATTAGTTAATATCACTTTTAAGTTTTAATTATTGAAAATTATTGAAATTTTTTACTTATTCCAAGAATATTTTTGTTACAAACGAATACACTTGTTTACTTGCTTAAAAAAAAAGGATTTATTGATATTAAACAAACAATTTATTTATTTCAAGTAATTTCATATAATTAGATTTCCTGAAATTTCAGTGGAACTTGAACACAATAAAAATTTCCGGAATTTGGCACGGAAAATTCAGACGAAAATTTCCAATAATGTACGCAATATTGAGCAATTATTCACGTTCACTGGGATAATTTTTACAGTGATCGTCATATCCATTAATTATAATTACTGTTAAATTATGAAGTTGTCAATTAGTTAATATCCCGTTTAAATTTTAATTATTGAAAATTGTTGAAATTTTTTACTCATTTCAAGAATATTTTGGTTACAAACGAATACACTTGTTTACTTGTTTTAAGAAAAAGGATTTATTTATATTAAACAAACAATTTATTTATTGCAAAGAATTTCATATAATTATAATTATTAATGTTTCAAAAGAATTTCAAAAGTGTGAATTGTGAAATTCAACAATATTCGCGGGCTATGTGGAAAAAGGTCGTACGAACCTAATCCACGAAACGTCAAATCTGGACAATTTAAGCTCTCTAGAATCATTTTGATCCATTTTTTTATTATACTCTTCATTCCAGTATATACGACCTTCTTTCACCATCGTCTCCCTAAGAGTGGAACCATGGAACAGAACTTTCTTCCCCCCGCCCTCTAAATGTCGTACGTGATGTCTTGTATTCAATCATGCAATATTTCATTCATTCAATATTTTTCGAATTAATCACCACCTCAAAGCGATAATAAATTATTAGTATCAAATAAATACTGATTGAAAATTTATTTGATTCACATAAATAAATTTTCTTAATACAAGAGAACTGTTTATTTAGTATAAATATCGAATTTATTTGCATCTAACAAAGATTATTAATAGTAAAAAAAGCATTTATTTTATATCAGCAAAAGTTCGAGGAAAATTTGGCATTTATTTTAAAAAAGGATTTGGTACTATTTAAATAAACTTTATTTCACTCAAATAAATAATTTCTCTGGGTGCAACTAAAACGAGGGATATGCAATTTTCGGAATTTTATTTCTCTATAATCTCTGCGGTATCTTCTACGAAGATTGCACTGTACTAAATGCCATCCATTAACAAATAGCCGGTGGCAGAAACCGGGACAGTGGCAGTTACTGGGACATCGACGGTATTTTTCTCCGGAATTGTCCACCACTTACCATTCCTGGGATCGTTGTCAATGGCCGTAAACAGTCCCACATTGTCCCGCATAGCCCGATTGATGTGATCAATAATTTTCGCATGAATCCACTTAGACAATTCCTGAATACTCAATTCCTGATTCTCGTCGGTGTCCGCTCGCCTGAACACATCCTCCAGCAGTAGTCTCGGATTCTCCCTATTCTCCCTCTCCTCGATATCCCGAATCAGCTGGGAATTCCCGTTATCGCTCTTGCCAGCCTCATTCTCCCTCTCATCACTCTTCAATTTAACGGCTGAATCCACCTCGGCCACGAGATCCTGTATCCCGTGGCCCCCAACTCCACTCGAACTCTTCAGTCTCATCGTATTATTGTACTTGATATAAACAAAGCACACGTAAATAACAAGCGGCACGAGAATTGTCCATCGAGTGATCCGAATGAACTTGAGATCAGGCTTGCGCATGTTCAACTTTTCAGAGGCACAACTGCTTAATTACCGAGTGACATTACATGGAGAGAAATGTTGAATAAAAATTACCTAGAAAATCGCGGCAAATTTTACTATACGAACGGTAATCGGCGAGCGAAATGTCATTCAATGATAATATCAGTAGCGAAGTGGTAAAGGGAGATGAGTCAATTTGGATTATTGACCAGTTTTGAATCATTATCTCGGAATCTAAGGAAGATAGCAAAATTTTTGTTATAACCTTTTTTGTGGAGCTGATTGAGTGCTACAACAAATGTGACTACAAAAATTTCGCTATCTCCCTTAGATTCGGAAATAGTCCTCAAAAACTCAACTGGGAGATAAATCGACTTATCTCCGTTCACCGCTGCACTACTGAGATAATAAAAGATTTTGTTCGAAATTTCCGGTACAATTTTTGGAAATTTTTATCAAATTTAATTACCGCTGAAATTTCAACGAATTTCGTCATTGACAATTCAGATTTCAAAGTGCATTTATTTCAGATTTCTCGGGCTTTCAATTGAAGGCCTGAGTTGTAAACCCGAGTTTGTAGCAAAGATGTCAGACAAGATATGAATGTTTTTTTGGGCTCAAACGAA